TAGTGTAGTTGTAATACTGTACAAATTCCTTAGAAGTGTACAGTACTCTAGCTAGTTATATCTGGTATACATATTTATGATAACTACTAAAATGTCTTATGATTTTGCATACAATTACATTACATTTCAATAGAAAAGTTATCACTTATTCAAAGCTTATTAAAACAAAGAATTAATTCTTTATGACGTATATTATAGTGACTATATTATAGTCTCATATTTTATGAAATTCAGTTATTATTTTAAAATATAATATTATACTGTTTATATTATATTATTAACATTGTATAATATTATTCTTATTCACATAAGATTTTCAATAAAATATGGATAAAAGTATAAAAGATATTATTAAATCAATTAAAATATTTCATGTTTTCGATGACGAATACGGATGTAATGTCTTGATTGTGACGAACGACGACAAGGTTTACGGATTTGGATCTAATTATTTTGGATCACTTGGTTTGGGAGGCAATGACTACATTAGTAAACCACAATTGATCCCAGAGTTGTGTGACCAGAATATTCAACATTTCCTTTATGGACAGCCATTTGTTTTAGCTATAAATGACAAGAACTGTATTTATATCTGGTCTCAACCGCTTGGGTCTCATTTATCAGCGATTATCAAATGTGAGAAACCTATGAATCTGTTTAATTTGGATTTAATGGGATTCATAGACCGAGAAAATAATGAATTTTTTCAAAATCATGAGAAAATCTGTCAAATAACGTGCGGCTCTTTTCACATACTGGCCCTCACTAGTGATGGCGATGTCTACGGATGGGGTGATAACAGAAAGGGACAGTTAGGTTGTGGTGACTCCACATCTATTATATTAGAGCCCAGAAAACTGCAATTCACTCACAATTCTATTAAATACAGAATTAATAATATTTTTTGCAGATATGAGTCCTCTTATGCCATCACAACAGATGGACATGTGTTTAGTTGGGGTAAAAATGATTGCTATAAATTGGGACACAATTTGTCGGGAAATGTATTGAAACCACAATTTGTCGATAATATCAGTGATATTAAAACGATTTGTGCGTCTAATGTGAACACATATTTCCTATCAAACGATGGATTCATATATTTTTGCGGACAATATGTGAATGAAAGCGGAGATGAGTTCATACAAAAGACACCCAAAGTATTGAATAGCGATAAGAAATGTGAAGAAATGCATCAAATCTATAGGTACAGAAAGAGTGGTTTTGTGTTTATTGATAAATCTATTATAACGGCTCTAATCGATGGAAAGATTCAAGAATTATTGAAAGCGCCGAAAATGATTGAAAGAAATTACGAGAATTTCTTTGATTACTATACAGACGAACACCAATTGACTCATAAAACGATTCATTTAAGCGATTATAAGGAATATAATTGCGATACAAGTGAAGAATTTCGTACAAAATGCACAGAATATTTGGGGAAAATGTTAGACAGAATTAAACAACATGTCGATGGTATGAATAAATTAATTTTAACTTATATTCATATCTTACAAATGATCACGGTCATAAAACATCGACAGCTTAATAACAATTCTTGATCTGAATTTAATACTTTCAATGTTTTTGATTGTGATCTAGTTAATAAATATAATCTGTAAGAAATATAAATTATATATAAAGTTAACATTAAAAATAAATTTTTAAATTTTATTAAAAGAGGCAAATCCGTCAAACGATGGACACACAGATAATGATTATTATTATGATATGGTGTCAATAATAGGAGAGGGGTCGTATGGAGTGGTATAGAAAGCGAGGAATAAGTGGAATAAACAAGAATGTGCCATCAAATTTATTAATTTAAATTGTAATGTATATACAGTTTACGAGTATATACAGTACTTTTCATGAAACTAATTATTAAACTAATATTGTTTTCAGTCGAAAAGGATGAGTCGAAATCAGCAATGGTAATCAAGACAATCAATAAATTGAGTGCAGAAGTGGACAACCTACAGAAAGTCAACTCACAATATGTGGTGCAATATATGGCCTGGTGGTTCGATGACACAAGATTTTACATAAGAATGGAGTTGTGTTCCGATAGTCTACAGAAGATTCTTAGACTTAAACCACAAGTATTTGGTCGACAACCGGGAGAACCCATGAATTCAATTGAGTTTTACATTTCGTGTCATATATTCAAAGAGATCTTAGAGTGCGTCCAATATTTGCATGAATTGAATCCACCGATAATTCATAGGGATCTTAAACCCGACAATATTTTGGTGGCACAAGAAGTGAAGAACAATCGGTATTTTAAATTATGTGACTTTGGTTTGTCGACAGTACACGACCGGGACTTCTATACTATGACTGGTCAACAAAGTGGTGCTCCTGTATATCAGGCGCCAGAAGTTACAAGTGGTAGGTTTGACCACAGAGTAGATATCTATAGTCTCTTCAAAATCGGTGAAAAACTATTTGATTTTAATATGAATGATATTACGTAAGTTTCTTTTAAGAAATTACTAGAAATTGTAAATTAATAATATTGAAAAATATTTGCTTTAAATATAGTCCGCAAACGTATTCATCAGATAATGAAGTCTTAAACAAATGTGTCATTAAATTACGGGAAGTATTGGTTTCCATGTCTTTGTCCCCCAATTGGGAGGACAGACCCGAGTGTAAGGATGTGTTGAAGACATACCACGAGTGGGCTATTGATGAGAAATATGTGGCAAAAGATTTGGTGTCTTTGATTCCCATTCTCTGGCAAAATATGAAACGACTAAATAATAGCGAGTTTTTCGTTAAATATTTTATCGCCAACTTTGGGGGTAATCATAATCACCCATTCGTTAGAGATTTGATTAATAAGTTTTTTGTAAACAATTTATTCTCTAAACATGACCTTGTTCATGATCCAGACCTGGATTAGAAAGCATTTGAAAATATAAACAAAGTCTAAAATAAGTTTATCTTTATACTGTACGGTAAATAAATATTAAGTTATATTGAATTAATCAATTGTTTTTACTCCAAAATTATAAAACTTTTATAACTATTTTTGTCCCAAATATAATGTAATTTATTTAGGTTTTAAATAATTATTAATTAATTTGTTTTTTGTCTTGAAAATTTTTGTATTTTTACAAAAAAGTTTGAATAAAATATTCATAATAATTGGTTGCATAATAAACTTATTTAATTGTAATAGTGTAGTTGTAATACTGTACAAATTCCTTAGAAGTGTACAGTACTCTAGCTAAGTTATATCTGGTATACATATTTATGATAACTACTAAAATGTCTTATGATTTTGCATACTATATTATCAATAGAAAAGTTATCACTTATTCAAAGCTTATTAAAACAAAAAATTAATTCTTTATCGCGTATATTATAGTGACTCTATTATAGTCTCATATTTTTATGAAATTCAGTTATTATTTTAAAATGTAATATACTATTGATGTTATATTATTAATATTGTATAATATTATTCTTATTCACATAAGATTTTCANAAAGAATTAATTTTTTGTTTTAATAAGCTTTGAATAAGTGATAACTTTTCTATTGATAATATAGTATGCAAAATCATAAGACATTTTAGTAGTTATCATAAATATGTATACCAGATATAACTTAGCTAGAGTACTGTACACTTCTAAGGAATTTGTACAGTATTACAACTACACTATTACAATTAAATAAGTTTATTATGCAACCAATTATTATGAATATTTTATTCAAACTTTTTTGTAAAAATACAAAAATTTTCAAGACAAAAAACAAATTAATTAATAATTATTTAAAACCTAAATAAATTACATTATATTTGGGACAAAAATAGTTATAAAAGTTTTATAATTTTGGAGTAAAAACAATTGATTAATTCAATATAACTTAATATTTATTTACCGTACAGTATAAAGATAAACTTATTTTAGACTTTGTTTATATTTTCAAATGCTTTCTAATCCAGGTCTGGATCATGAACAAGGTCATGTTTAGAGAATAAATTGTTTACAAAAAACTTATTAATCAAATCTCTAACGAATGGGTGATTATGATTACCCCCAAAGTTGGCGATAAAATATTTAACGAAAAACTCGCTATTATTTAGTCGTTTCATATTTTGCCAGAGAATGGGAATCAAAGACATCAAATCTTTTGCCACATATTTCTCATCAATAGCCCACTCGTGGTATGTCTTCAACACATCCTTACACTCGGGTCTGTCCTCCCAATTGGGGGACAAAGACATGGAAACCAATACTTCCCGTAATTTAATGACACATTTGTTTAAGACTTCATTATCTGATGAATACGATTGTGGACTATATTTGAGAGAAATATTTATTATTAATATTTATATGAATATAATTATCGATAACTTTCAAAATACTTACGACTTGTCATTCACATTCAAATCAAATAGTTTTTCGCCGATTTTAAACAGACTAAAGATGTCTATCCTGTGGTCATACCTGCCATTTGTGACTTCCGGTGCCTGATATTCAGGAGCACCGCTTGGCCTACCAGTCATCGTATAGAAGTCCCGGTCGTGTACTGTCGACAAACCAAAGCCACATAATTTAAAATAGCGGCCGTCCTTCACATCCCGGGCCACCAATATATTGTCGGGTTTGAGATCCCGATGAATGATCTGTGGACTCAATTCATGCAAATACTGGACGCACTCTAAGATCTCTTTGAATATTTGACACGAAATGTAAAACTCGATTGAATTCATGGGTTCTCCCGGTTGTCGACCAAATACTTGTGGTTTTAGTCTAAGATATTCTGTAGACTATCGCAACATAATTCAATTTTTATGTAATAGTGAGTGCTGTCAACCCACGAGTCCATGCATTTGACCACATATTTTAAATTAACTTTTAATGAATTAAATAGATTCAGCGATCAATTGATTCAATTCTTTGAGCACTACTTTTGACTTCGATTCTTGCTTTTCGACTGAAATTGAAATTAGTTTAATAACTAAATTGTAAATAAAACTGAACTGTATTAATTACAATTTAGTGGAATTAATTTTATGGCATATTCTTGTCCGCCATATTTATCCTTTGCTTTCCACACCTCACCAAATGATCCCTTTCCCAATAGGGTCAACATGTCGCAATTAATACGAGAAATGAATAATTTATAGGAAGTTCATTCAGAATATGTGGTCAAATTTGTGGACTTAATAACAGACGAGAGATATTATTACATTGTAATGGAGTTATGTTTGAGAAGTCTACAGAATATTATTATTGAACACAAACACAAAGTATTTGGTAGAGAACGGGAGGAACTCATGAATTCAATTGAGTTCTACATGTCGTGTCATATATTCAAAGAACTCTTAGAGTGCGTCCAGTATTTGCATCAATTGGATCCACCCATCATTCATAGGGATCTTAAACGAGACAATATTTTAGTGGCTCGGGATGTCAGGAACGGTAGGTTTTTAAAATTGTGCGACTTTGGTTTGTCGACAATACACGACAAGACTATCCATTCAATGAATGCTACTAAACATACGGACAATGTCGGCGACACTAGATATCAGGCATCAGAAGCCAAGAATTGTGAAACATATGACCACAGGGTACACATCTATAGTCTGTCCAAAGTAGCCGAAGAAATATTTGATTTGAACGTAAAGTCGAGTAAAGTTTTTAAAATTCATATATTATACACAATATGTTAATATAACTATTGATGTATTATTTACTGATTTAGTCCACAATCGTATTGAGGTCTTAAACAAATGTGTCATTAAATTACGGGAAGTATTGGTTTCGATGGCTTTGTATCCCAATTGGGAGGACAGACCTGAGTGTAAGGATGTGTTGAAGACATACCACGAGTGGGCTATAGATGAGAAATATGTGACACAAGATTTAATGGATAAAATGGACAACATTGTGGCCATAAATATGAATAACCCAAATAATTGCCAGTTTTTTGTGAAATATTTTTTTGCCAAATTACGTCGAAATACTGACAATCGATTGATTCGGTTATTTAAAGAGTATTTTAAGCTCTCTATTGTTAGTTCAAGTAATTGACTAAATATTATAATAATAATAATTGTAATCAAAGAATATCATGTATTATAAATAATTGCCAATTGTTGCTATATTTTTGTGATTTAAATTAAACTCAATTTAAAATTCAATCTTTATTTCAAATTGAATTTCAATATAAAATTTAATTGATTAGATTTTTCAGAACCGTTTGTGTCAAACATTTGCCAAAAACGATCATTAAAATGAAGATAATATCTATAAATTTGGTTCATATGATGGCATTAAATGGTGAGATCTTTGCTCACGAGTCGACGACTCCCTCAACGACTGCAAGAATTCGTGAATCGAGTGATGAGACCATAGATCGCGTAAAGACTGGACTAATAGTTATGATAATTATCTCAACGATTGTACTCATCATATGTGCCGTA